CTTGCAATATAGTGTAGTAACAAGCTGTAATACATTTTCCACACCTTTTAGTTTAAAGTTAACTAACTTTCTTTTCTATTTCTCTATAATTCCCAAGGTTGGAATATGGACCAGCTTAAGAACATTTCTAACCTTAAATTTTTCCAAGGTCTAATTGGATCAACTGTACATTAGGTATCTTCTTATGGTATGCTTTTTAAAAAAGCATGCTGAGGTATTCTTGTTGGTGAATTGGGTGTACTCGCCTATTATCTTCACTGCTGTTGACCAATAACCAACTGATCTAACAGGCACCAATCACAGTTTTCTTGTATCAGAAACTTGAAGGTTTATTGTAATATTTAAAATAGTGTTGGGGCCTAAGACAGCAGAATTTTGCATAGATTAACATACAGATTATCTTGAATTGAAGCAGAATCTACATAGATTTCATGCAGAGCTTACTAAGATTACAACTCAATCTTACTGGCATAAATGTTAAAAGAGATTGTTAGTAGAATAACAGAGTTAGATTAATTTTAGATTTAAACCATAATTTTGTAGTGTTTAGTAAATGTCACTTCTACAGGACAACTCTTAAAGTTCTCACTTTCGATTGCCAGTAACAAATTTGTGTATTTTTGTGTAGTTCTACTTCACAAGAGCTCCTGTAGTTCTCTTGTAACTTTCAAGCTAACTTTCGTTTTTTCCTTTGTGCATGAATTATTTTAGTCTCGCCTATAATTTAGTTAAGCATCTGTTTAAGTTTGCCAGTGAGTGGATAGTGTATAATTTGCCTCACAGGGTGTTGAAGCATAGGTTTTTTCTTTAAAGTACACGCTATTATTGTTAATTAGTAAGGTAAAAGGGGAGATTTAACTTGGTTGGTGTTGCTAGTCACACACCCTTTCTTTTTTGTAGATACACATACAAAAATACAATCACTTGCCTTGTATAATAGTGCATTGTTGTTTTTGTAAAAATGTAAAGATCTCAATTAAAGATTGGTTCCTTGTGTGAATCTGTGTGTCTTGTCTCATTCTTTGTGGCCAAACAACCAAACCCACCAGGAAACTCACCCACAAATGAAATCTGCAAACCTATTAGCAGACCCGAACTTCTCTGCTTTGCCATAAATCCTTGAGATATCACAACAGTAACAAATAACTCTGACTATACATAGAAATGTTCTTCAGAAGGAGAATCAGGATCAGTGAGGGAAGATAACACAATAGGAGATAAAAACAGCACTGATAATCTCTCGCAGCTCAAACCTTAGTAAAAAAAGCCTCTATCAAGAAAGAAGTACAGAGCCTTCCTAATAGAAAAAGAAAATTCAAATAGTATGCAAAAATGAAAAAATTTTTGATCACCTCCTCCTGGAAGTGAGTAACAAATTAAAATATGTATTCAAGGAAAGATGGTACAATAAACAAATAGAAATAATTCAAAAGGAAAAACCAAGCAAGCAGAGACTAGAACTAAGCTTAAGAAAATTCCTAGGTATTCATGGAAGATGTAATCAAACAGTTTGGAAAAGAAATTTAAAGAATTGCAGCAAACAGAAGCACAGGACTTCAGTGGAAATTGAAAATGGCTAAGAGTGCTTGTCTGTAGCATGTAAATAGAAGAAGACAAGCCCTGATCATGAAAGAAGTACATGAAATAAAATGAGGCAAGCTGTTGAGAAGTGAATTCTGCAGGCACCCAACCTTAAAGATAGACCAATGAGATTGGTATACTGCCAAGGAGGAAAATTGCAAAAATGTAACAACATTTGTGCTACCAAAAATGAGAAGCCAGCTTTACCAACAAAGGACTGCATAAAAACCAGCCATGAAGCTGTATAAAGCAAATGTCATTGTAGAAGATGTATCAAAATATTAAAAGGAATAGGATACCCCTGAGACAAACAAGAGTAAACCATAGTGGAGCAGGACAGCATGGGCATAAGAAGAACTAGACAACAGAACCAACTGGTCTCAGCTAATACCTGAGAAAGATGACAAAAAAGAGGGTAAGCACAAAGAAAAAAAAATCTTCAGAGATAGGCTCAAAGCATCCACATTACTAGAGAAATTGGACCCAGAAATGGAAACTAATAAAGCACCAGATGATGTGGAACCAACAAAATATCAGCTCACAGAAAGACATGATAACATGAAAGAGCCAAAGAAGTAGAGAAACTGCAGCAAAGGCTGTGAGTCTCACATGCATGTTTATATATGCCACTATAGTTAAATAATCTGTATGACAAAAACACAGCTGTGGTGTAACAAAGGTGATGTAACTATTGACATTCATGTTGAACAATCCAAAGTTCCAACAGCATGATATGAGAATAAGATATTGGAGAATGGTACAGACTGAAGAGATGACAGTCCTCCAACACATCATCTCAGCCCCAAAAGAAAAAGGTAATGGTGAAAGATCTAGATCCACCTGATGGAAGAAAAGGGGAACTGACACCATAAAACTCACAAATATGCCACATTTGAAGGTAATCAAGAATAGTAGGAGAAAATTCCTGTAGACAATCTGTTGGAATTGCCTCATAAAAAGAAGCCATACTTCCCATACCAGAGAGGGTGTGTTTGGCAGATAGAGAAGTATGGGTATCCATAATTTCATGGATTGGAAAGCCAAAGGAGATGGATAAAAGTTCCTGGGAAAGTATTAATAAAAAATGTCAGATGAATGAAATACTGAGTAAGCACAAACCAAGACTTGGACTCATGAACAATCCATCTCAAAGAAGAGGCAAACTGAAAAGTCAATTTAGCCTTAGGCAACCACTAAGCTGCAATCTTCCAATCATCCAGAACAATAGACACTGAATGTATGAAAAACCAGCTGTTGGTTTGACTACATGTGTGAAGAAATAGGACAATGAAGTCAGACCAAAAAAGAAAGACCATAGACTGATAGACTGCTTCAATGGGGGAACTGAGACATGTAAGTAAATCTTTTAAATTCCCCCTTCATCATCCAAAAACTTTTACAAAGGAATTTTCATATTATATTAAAGATTCTCATGGGTTACAAATACAAAGTACAAATATCCAGATAACAAGTGAGGCAGGAAATTGAAGACCAGTCTTAAATCTCCTGTTGCTTTTGGCACCACAAAGAGATGAGAGTAAAAACTCTAAGGTAACATGAAGTTAAACATTAATATCCCCTTGTGGAAACATTTTGAAACTTCCAGATATAAAATGGAATAGAAACTGGAAGAGTTAAAATAGAATGATGAACAGAACATTAAATTAAAGAATCTGATGAATCCATGGCACACAAAGCCAAGGGTTCTAGGGTGAATAAAAACCTGAGATGATCCCAAAAAGCCCAGATGAAGAAGTCATTTACAATACAGTCAATGAATGAATCATAAAGACCCACTTTGCTTACGTAAATACTGGGCAACATGAAAAGTATGAGTAGATGAAACACGCATCAAAGAGCATTAGACATGGGACTCTGGAAGGGAATGACAACGAGAAGCAAAACAAAATGCTAAAATCCTAATCAACTCCTGCTAGCAAGCTTCCTCTTAATGGAAAACAAGTGGAATGCCTTGCAAAGACAAAAATGAAGCAGAATTTCTTTTTTTTTAACAAACATAAATATATGGAGATCAGGTTATTAAAAAATGTAACAATGCTGAATACACACAAAAGTGTCAAAGGAATATAACAATCACATAGTAATAGAAATAACACCAAAAGAAAATAGGTTCAATATTGAAAATATTAAATATCTGAGAGAAAAAGAAATGAGACTAGCAGAAGTGTGATCAGGAGTAAGGCACACAAACAAATTCAACTCTGAAGATTCTGGAGGCAATTAGGTCTGAGTAAAAGATTGATCTTCACCAAAAACAAAATAAAATGTTAACTGTTATACAAAATAAGCATCCACATGATTGTGATACCTACTAGGAATACCAGTACATAACAGCACAAGTACACTGAACAATAAGGGCTGGCACGGCCATAAGATTACCCTGCATACTACAGGAAAATTGCTTAATTAACGCCTCCAACTACACTACAAAAATTTTGATAATGGCAGATATAGTTGTATCGGAAAGAATGTTATACCAAAGTTAACAGTGCAACTGTCAACAAGAAAATCTAAACTGTAGTGGAAATCAAAGTTAATTTAAGATCCCGATGCTTGCACAATAAATCATGTGGAAGGTAGGAGACTCGAGAATTATGAGCAAGTGACACGTGCTCTGCAATACATAAAGAATATTTGGAAATTTTTCATCATGCTTTGTTTACAGCATGAGTCCAAAGTCAACAAGGAAAGGCTTTCAGTATTTCAAAGGTAAGTTTATCTGATGTGAAGGTAATATTTAAGTAAATTTATTGCAAGACACTGCATAAATCCTGTCTATAACTAAGTAAAGCTGCTATAACTGACTGTTATTAACCCTTTGTGTACAATCCCAGTTGACTGCATGTCATGATGTTTTACAGAGTTACATTCAAAATTTAAGCAAATAACTTTGTTATCAATGAGTGTCAATAAACTTGGCATCAAAATGTTGTTTTACAATTCAAATTTTTTATATTATCTAAGTTTCAATATTTTAATTTCAAAAGGAAATATTTAAACACATTTTCAATTCTCCTCCTTTTAGTTTTTATAACTTCAATAGTATAATTTTTACAATGTCCAATGAATACAAACAAGTTATAAATAATATAAAGTTAAATATACAATTTGAACATCCCAATTTTCCATTTGATCTTTGATGCACATGTTTCTAACCAATAAAAAAAAGAGCTTTTCTTCTCTATTTGAAGCTTGCAACTACCCTTTTAAATGTGAGGGTAATAAAAACTATTTAAAAGGAAGTGATTGATATGTGTTTAAATGAAATTGTTGCTCATAGCTATAATGGAGTTTTTTCATCTTATCTATAGCTTAGTTGGAAAGCCAGTTAAATTATTGTTATATTATTTCAAGACTTTCTTCATTTGATCAAAACATATTAAAAAAATCACTCTTACCTAAAATTGGCCTCAAGTAGATTGACAAAACACTGAACTTTTAAAAAAGCATACTTGTCCAATGGAAGGAAATGTATACCCTGATACACATCCAGTAGATCTGCTTGGCTCAGCTTTAAGATAGGTAAGTACTGTGAACACAATAGAATATTAAAAACTGGTTTATTTTACTTTTCAATTCATTGTATTTCAGGAGAAATACTTAGTAGAAGTGTTTAATGCACAACTGAGATAAACAGCTTTACAAGAACATATTGTGACTACTCATAGTAGCAACTAAAGTCTTAAATAATACTAAAAGAAAAAATTAATCCAAAAACACACAAGAAATAAGATCATTTTTCATTATACAATAAATTAATAATTTTAATCTGTTATGTATATTTACTATAGGAACATGTCAGACAAAGCTGTATGAAATTAGAATTAAAATAATGTTTGGCATATTGTACTCGCTGAGATTATAAAATACAACAGTTTCAGTATCATAAACAACAAGCATGATTTACATTGGGTCTTAATCATTGTCTAGCCTGTTTTTTCTCCTCGCTATAATCATGCCATTCCTTGCTTTTCACAAGAAAGATAACTAGTAATGTAGTTAGAGAGACGGCTACTTTCCTGTCGACAAATCAGGTTACATATACAGATGGCTACTCTCTCTGCACATGGCAACACTACAAACACACGGATCACTTGCTGGCCACGAGCTGGAAGCAAATTTGATTTTGTGTATCAATTTGTTTTCATAATGACAGGTTTGCTGTAAGAATTTCATATTTTTAGGAGAGTTTCACAAACTTGTAGTGTTCACCAAACCCTATAACAGGTCTCTACTGATTTATTTGTTTAAGGATGCAAGAACAGTAAGAATTCTCACAACATTTTTAAGTTTGATGTTTACCTGGAGCAGAAAATTGTCAGGCTCAATTTGGATTATTGCAGATTCTGATTTTCAAGATTTGGATCTGTCTGTAACAAAATCCATTCTACACTTGGATTTTATTTTATTTAGTTTACAGTTGCTTTTTTGGGTTATTTTTGCTACTTAGATTTTTCTTATATTTTTTTTGTCTGTAGTTTAACTTAGAGGGAGGATTACATGTGAATTGGTACAAGAACGAATAAAGGTTTCTTACACATCTATCAGTTCAACACCTAACTATGAAAAACACATGCCCATTTATTGTGCTTTGTATTTTTTTTTTTTAATATATATATTAAATAAATATTTTGTAACCTGTTCATTTGTTTCCTGTCTCTTTCTTTTTGTGTGGTTTGAGTTCAGGAAGAAACATGCTCCATAGCTCAATATTTTTAGCCTCTAGTTAGCAGGCCCTAACTGATTACTTTGACATAAATCCATGAACTAGAAAATACCACGCATGACAATAACAGTGAATATAACTTACTGACAAAATTTATTACTGGACAAGTATCAGGTTCAGGTACAAAGTGTATATTAGTAACTGAACACCATATTGTCAGCTTTGTACAAGGCTTTTCTACAATACCAGACCTCATCGGACCAGTAAAGAATAATGTTATTAAAATTATCTGCCTTACTGAGGATTTAAGTGTTGTTGTCAAAAAGTGACAACTACAATTGTGTGAAAAAGGAATAAACTTAAATTGAATTCTTACTAAGTTTTAGAAAGCCAACTAGTGTTTCATGAAAATATATTTGATTTGACTGCTCCAGAGATGTCAAGGTTGATTAATTAACAAGAATGAGATTTGTATGTATCAGGGTAGAGAATTTGACTAGTCAAATAATGAATTTTACCTAATTTAATGTAAATAATGTAAACTACAGGAAAAAAGGAAAAAAAAAACAAGTTTGTGGTTTGTCTTCAACAACAACAAAGCTAGTTCTGCACACAGCAATGCCATTTTGATGTTATGTATCATAAATAAATAATATTACCAAGTTATTATACCAAATAACTATCTATTTTTAATAATATGCCATTATTTTGAAGTTATATTGCAAGTTTAAAAAAATCATGGCTGTACGCTACATAAAATTGAAGGATATTATAACACAGCACATCAATCACCCCAAGTAGGTGAAGAGCAGGTAGCTATTAAACTCATACATTATATTTTATTAATACATACATGTAATATTTACAAAATATGTAGAAAGGTAAGAAATACCAGGCTATAACACAATATTTTTTTAATGCTTGGATTGAACTCTCAGTCATTTTAGAGTCATTAGCAGGGTGTAATTACAACACTTGTCTATAAGCAGGGGGGGATGGACTTTGGGTCCTAAGAATTAATAAAAAATGTGGAACTATTTCATTGGAAGTTAACAGTTCTTTTGGAGAAGTGAAAACAGACTGTGTGGAATTTGAGCCAGTAACCCACTAACACTAATAACCAATGAACTAAAAGCTTTTTACTGATCCACATTAGATCACAGAGGTCAAAATTATACAATTAATAAAAGTAGGATATTTATGTATCAGCTTTAGTCAGTTAGTGCATATACAAGGAAAATGATGATTGGACAATTTATGAAACAATATGGAAATACCACAAAGAAGCATATAATGCGTGAGGGTTAGCAAAAAAATGGCTCAATGATTTAATGTTCCTGAAATTCCCTGAAGCAGTTATGCATCTTAACATATGCTTCTCCACAAAGTAATCTAGAAATTGTACAACCCATCACTGTCCAGACATATTGAAAGTGTAACATTTAGTCCTTTTATTTAAGTATGTGTTTATACATCATAAACAAAAAAAAAAAACTTAATTAATCCCATTCATTCTAATTATTAGAAAATAAAATCTGTTAGTAAATTGTACCAAGAAACTACTCTTTACTGAGTATTTTTAGAAGAAAGAAGTCATTCTTACAGGAGAGTACTTTTACAATTACATTCAAAATACAAGGTGTCATGTCAGATGGTCAAATAAAAAAGTCTTAAGCCTGAAGTTTGCACATTTGTAACTTAACCAGTTTTGTCAAGTAGACACTGTGTATACTGGTATAGTTTGTACGTCTCTTCCCTGATTTTCAATGTAAATGCAAGTTCTATATAAGAAATTAAATGGATTTATTTAACTGTTTTAACATTATAATTTAACAACATTATTACATAAGTGAAAAATTATTTGTACATAAGGTCATCATATATCTGTTAAAAGTGGAAAAAAACAAGAGTCAGGCCCTTAAAACACTTAATCACATAAAAACAGTTGAAGCTTATTATTATTCCAACAATACAAAATGTTCTGCAAATAGTATCTATACATACATACATAAATAAAATCATATCAATGTGCTTTTTGTTTTAATACATAAAACTCGCTTCTTTTTAAGGTTCATCTTTCATGGTCATACTATTATTTTCAACCGAAAGAAGTTTTTGAGTTAACAATTTTGTTAACTAGAAAATTAATTTGATATTAGTGCAAGTACTTGTCTCTGAAATGTACCCAATTTAAATTTTTAAACAGATTCAAAATAACAAAACAGATGACTTACATCACATTTATCATTGTATGTTACAATGCACAATATTTTGTTGTTCATTTCATACCAGGACAAAATTTCACAAATGGGCAGTTTCTGGATATCATAACTATAAAATCTAATTTTGTGTAAACTTTCAACCATACCTTTCAAAATGTTTTTTTACTTAAATTTACCATAACATTCAACTACTAAATCCTGCAATACAAATTTCATGTGCAACTATTGTTAAAAGAGCTTGTATGTTTAATTAATTAACCTAAAAACAAAGATTAAAAATTATCACTCACTAGACAGTCAAAGTTTAAATATAATATCACTAATCAAACTTTCTCTACAAAGTTTAAATGTAATTTTACAACACAGATTTGCTGTAAATTTAAAGCTTCAACACAATGATGTTTCTAATGACCCACTAAACAATGATATTTAAGTTGATAATGAGATGACACAAGATATAAAACAAGCTCCTCAACAATATTCTGGTTCTGTAATATTTCTGAATAACTTGAATATTCTCCTTTAGATACTAGCAATATTAAATTAAAATGTAATACTTAAAATATTAAATATTTCGTAAGCATTTGTAAGTACAGTTCACTGCATAAAACAATAAATTATACTTGCAAATTTAAACAATTTATTGGTGCCATTTATCTAGGTAAGTTACAAAAAAGTTAACTGCAATTTGTAAAGCACATCAACAATCCAAGTTTCACATAGCATGAACCGAGACTCACTCAGAAGCCTATTGCACATATAAGGCCTCCTCAGCCATTCTATACTGCTATATACATGTTTATCAATATTCATATGATCTCTGCCAAAGTTCTCATCTTTAGGCAGTTGAGTAAATTTTTTACAGGTGTAATACAATCTTAATGCATGATCAGACATTCAATATTTACTGTAAAGACTAAATTGTAATTAAAGTAATAAACGAATGCATAAAACAACTGTCTAAATAATTTCATACCATAGCTTCTAATAAGTGATATTAACTCAGTCAACACAGGCTTTGTCATTTTGACTGACTTCGTAACCATCAAGTAACCATGAAATTATCCATTCTGTAACTTTCAATATAGTAATTGCATCTTCATCAAATTTGGCAAGCTTTTAGCAAACATTACAAGTCTTTTATATAGAAAAGTAATTTTTTACTAAAGACTTGCCTGTGGATATATGGAGTCAGAGTGCAACTCTGACTAGTCTGAGTACAAGGTAATTTTCATGTTAAGACTAAAAATACTTTTTTCATCTTACGGTTTTCATTTACATAACCTATAAGACCTCCTAAATGAATATCAAGTCTTTTTTCAGTAAAACTTCAATTTTATGATATTTTCTCTACCCTAACATAATACTGACTCAGTCAATTTGACCAATCTTGTAATCATCATAAAAAATACAAAATAAATCTAAATTACCCATTTATCTTTCTAAAATATCTGCAGATTGTAACAGAAAATTACTATTATTTATCCTAAAGAGCTCATGATTCATAACAGTTTACACTTATTTTTATTTAATTTTATTGTTTTATTGCTCTGTGAATGGAGTAAAACCAATAACCTCAAAATATAAGCTGTAAATCACATAGCAAACATACCCCATGGAGAAAGTTTTTATCATTATCTAACCTTATTCAACCTACTAGTTTCTAAATTTTATATTTTTGTTACTTTTATAACAATAAACAAAAAAATATGCATATAAAAACAAGAAGTTTATTACTTACACTTGGTCCCATTTTTTTGCTGTCAGCCTGCTGATGAAACTCTGCCCAACTATTTTGTAATTAGGATACTAGTATACAGGATAGAGGGCACAATGATGTAAGTGGAGAGTATCATGAGCCAAATATTGCCAAGGGCAATTAAGTGGGATATAAAAAGACTGGAGCAAGTGAGAAAAAATCAGACCAATGCTTAGATGGGCAAAGCAGAAACCCTGGAGGTCGAGTAATAGCTATAAATGTTCATGGATGCAAGTATGTTTTAGAATAACATTTAGTAAGCAACATATAAACAAAGACAATTGTGAAAAGCCTACCCTTGAGAATATAATTATCAAAGTTTTGTTTTTCATGTCATTGTCCTTTTTTTTTGTCTGGGAATTTTATTTGTACAGCATCTCAGTTCCCACTCTTTTATGACTTAACAGCATGTGATTAAACTACTACTAATGAAACTATGCTTTCCAAATACTACAGACAATGTTTAAACATCATTGAATATGGTACATTATAAATTATTTATGTTAATGTAGAGTGAATAACATGATGTAAGAAGTAATTTATAGTTTAATGAAAAAGTAACAAGACCTAGCTTAAGCAGAGAATAACAATGGAATGTAGTTGAAGTTGAAAAGACTTAAGAACAAACAGCTGATTAGGGATATTTTTTTATAGTTTCTTTAGATGTTCTTTTTATTCCTTGTAATGTTTTGGTGCTAAATTATATATCTTTGAAAGCTACAAAAAATTTCTTTTATGGCAATACATCAGGTAAACCTTATTAGGTTTAGAGAGTAAGATAGGTGATGGCAAAATATTCCAGTGAGTCAAATCCTTATGTATTGAATATTATAGTTAAGTTAATCATATTCAAATAACGCAAATAAATAAAAGGACTTATAATTTTTGAAAGGAAAGCATATTTATTATACACAAATTTATTTCAACCAAAAATATTGTTAGCAAAAATAATGTTGCCTAGTCTGACCTAAAACCATTTTGGAAGGTAAGGTCCTAGATCACTGATAAATTTTTGTCAGTTTCTGCAATGTTTTTTACAATTTATAGAGATAAACAGTGACTACTGCAATCAGTAAAATAAAGTATGAAAATAAGTATGTTAATGAATATCATTCAAGTTGAAACTGACTAGACTTATATATAGAATGGAACTTTCTGAATAGCACTGAAAATGTTTGAATTTTAAAATGAAAGGAAGTATTCTCAAGATTTTACAAACCAGTTTTATTTAATTAGACCCAGTAAATTTCTTTGACATAAAGTAAAGTTTTTTGAGATTTTTATAATTATATGCTACTTCATTAATTAATACAATAAATTATCATTTGATTTTAATGTTATTTTTCCACAAACAATCTACAAATGGTTCATTCAAATTATTCAGTTATTGTAAAAAAGAAAAGTGATAAGGATTATATTTTACCTTTTTGTAAAATGCTGATAGTTTTTCTTTAAGCATCTCACTATTCCCACTTTTACTTAAAATTCTTTGAAATGTTCCATTGAATAACTGAAAAAAAAAAAGACTAACCAGATTAATGAAGTCACTGGAAATAAATGTAAGTACTTTGAAGCAACACATAAAATAAAATAATCATGTTGATGCTTTTGGTAATACCAAGTAAATCAATAATTTTATTATGTCAACAAGCTTGTATAATAATTTTTCACATAGTTAAGCATTTATAAAAAAAAAAACTCAATATATACATAAGGGATGATTTCAGCACTAGTTTTATAATTCAATAGGATTTTGAAAATGCTTTAATAAGAAATTCCAGGGTCTAAAAATAATACAAGTAATCACATTTATATAAGAAAATAAAAAAATGATAATAAAAATTCTTAGTACATTTAATTTTTTTAGCACACAAAGATTTATTACATTAAAAATGTTTTTGTTTTTTTATCAAACTCCATTTTCAAGTACTCTAAACCTTTGAAGTAATTATCAAAAATGTATACCTTGGTGTGAACAAAAAAAAAGGTGGAAAGAATTGATGTGTATCCTTATATAAATTGTTTTTCTGGTATCATACACAGTGTTGCAACAATAAAACAATTTCATACATACACAATTCTCCCTTATCTATTTACATGGAAGAATATGTTAGTTCAAGTTTTGTTCTACAGAATCCTAGTATAAGGTATGTTTCTGCATTACAGATGGTACATCATACACAGTGTTACAACAATAAAACAATTTCATACAAACACAATTCTCCCTTATATATTTACATGGAAGAATATGTTAGTTCATGTTTTACAATTATTGTTAAAGGTAAGAGCTCAAATTAACTCTATTGAAATTTACAAAATCTTGGTTGCTGTGTAGTCATATATCTCATAAAATATTTGTTTCTAATTTTCAAAAGTTTATGTTGTTAAAATATTAGTTAGCATATAAGGAGAGTTCATCACAATCTATAAAAACAGCATATTCAACATCCCTTAGAACAACTTCTTCCAATGTTGATGATGGCCAATCTAATGGCTATGACTGTGCACTATTGCCTGATGCTGCAACTCTACTATAACAAGCTTTAACAAAGGATGGTAAGGTCAATCTTACACATCACATACTGACACTTTCTACATATCCTCCAGTATATATGGATGTTAGCTTCTAAACAGAATTAAACAAACCAAGTATAGAGAATTTCATGGGTACAGTCAGGTGACTTAATGGATACATCAAAGAGGAGGATGGCATGAGCACTGTGTTCATTCTCAGCGATTCATGTAAATGTTGCTGTAGACTTAAAGGTGTGACTTTGACATACCATCCTGATATAGCCATACAAATCTTACACCCTGATCATTCAATGTATCAATTTCACCCAGTGGGATTTGTAACATATTTTTAGGGGAAGCAGTCATGGAAAACTTAACATTCTAACTTAAACAAAAACCATATGTATTTATTACCTTACTACTTACAATGTAGTTTGATTCTCCTATCTTTTTTAGCAAAATCTTCAATCACCACATCATAAAACTTTAATTCTAGTTTAATTTGAGGAGACATTCTTTTTCAATTGACATAACTGCTAAATTTTGAAATCTCTCTTGACCTTGTTAATTACCCAAGTAGTTTTTTATTCTATTTAATGTCACAACAATTCAATCTACTTGAGGTTTTGTTTGTTGAAATGGCTAAGATTAGTTCACAGACTTTATATACTTCACTAGAAGCTCTCTGTAAGTCATTAGAATTAAAGTAAATAATAACTTCATCAATAAGCTATCATCTTAAGGAAACAAAGTCAAAAACATTGTCATAGCTTTTTTTTAAAGCCTGGAAAGCAATTTCAAGAAAACTTGTTTGGTATCATAAAAAATCTTTTTAATGTACAAATTCTAAAATCACAATGGATCCATGTTCTTAAATTTATCTCTTAGCTGGTATAACAGTATGTAAAAAAGTTCACAAAATAAACATTTCTAAAATGTTTTCATGTCAAAATTGTGTTTCAATAATATATTTTTTTTGCCTGGCTCATCCACACTTGTTTTTTATTTGTTTTCTCCCAGATCCTTTCATATTCATCACATTTGTTTTTAAAATCCTCACACTATTAACACAATAGTCAATATTGTGAGTGTTAGCCTGCAATCTATCAAATAACTTATCTGTGATAGCGAACAATTATACAAATATAATTAAAAGGAAATTAAAATCTTTCATCGAAAGACTGCATATCCACAAACTATAGGCTTCTTGATACCACTTTTCTTCTAGATCTGTAATATTTTTTCAAATAATAATACAAGTTGATTCCAACACTTATCAACTATTTCACCAAATGTGAAGTTTAATTTCAGTGAATGGATGACATTCTTGGCCAGTGGCGTAGCAAGAGGGGGGGGGCAAGGGGGCTGTCACCCCCAGGGCACAGGTGTGAAGGGGCACAATGGCCTATAATGTCTATTAATTAATAATCATGCCCTCCCCTAGGATATAGTGCAACTGCCCTAAGTTAAGTAAATACAACACAGTGTTACGTTATTTGTGTGTATTACGCTCGCAGTTTTAAATTTTAAAAGCTGCCCACTGAAATACAGTGAGACTGAAGTAAATTACACTATTCCATCATTCATCTGTAGATCAAATACAAGACCTAGAGTACAACATACAAGTAAGTGTATGTTC